TTATTTCCCACGTAATATGGTTGTGTGTGTGTGTGTGTGTGTGTGTGTGTGTGTGTGCCTGTGTGAGTGTGTGTGCGTGAGTGTGTGTGTGTGTGTGTGTGTGTGTGTGTGAGATGTATGAGCGATCAAGAAAACGCAAGCAGTGCACAAATTAAAACCGGGCACAAATCAAAACCGTATGACATTGACACTGGGGCTTTTCTTATGCATTTTCTATGATCTAGATTAACGTATAAATACTAATAATATGATTGCTACTGTATCTTTAAAGAGTCTTACGTGTTACCACTTACTACCCTTTTTGACTAATCCTTGGTTTTATCACAATTAACAAAGAAATGCACAGATTTATATCAATCAAAATATTATTCAATTAATTAAAAAAAACCCCGTTAGGCTGTGATTTAATATTTTACTCAATTCACGGTGTTCGAAAGATAGTAACTCGTTCTCTTCTTCACGGGGAATTAGGAGCAACTTTTGAGTTAGGGGCAGTACAGTCTGCAAATTTTAATACAGCTCTTCCAGTTTTGCCTAAAGTCCATCCATTCAGCCACTGTTCCCTGGTGTTGCATTTGGTGATGTTCTTGGCTGTCTGTTGTTTTGAGGTTGTGTTTGTAATGCTTCTTTCTTGTCAAGGGTGTCTGCTCTGTCATTTCTTGGCATTGGATGTTGCCATGTCCAGGTATCTACTGTAAATTTAGGTCGAAGGCATAGATTGCAAGAAGGTGTTAATTAGAGCTGGGCGAAGAATCAATTCCGGAACCGATTCCCACGACTACTGCAACGAAAGAAAAGTTCCCTTTGACGAAACTCAACGGCTACCAGTCACTTTAATCATTATAATCTTCTTTTAAAAAGAAAAGAATTTATCTTTGAAAAATAAAAGTTGATGCTTCTAAGTGTTCCGAAATCAAAGTTATCCTAAATCCTGAAGATGTTGAAGCCAACCAGGTAACCACCGGAAGAACTCACATCATTAGAAAGTAAGTAATTGGGATCGGAGTCGATTTCTACGATTCCTAGCTTTCAATAATCGGGAACCACTGTTAATGCTAGGGCAACAGATAGGCAGGCTGGGCTTTCGAAATTCATGTTGACCGCCCATGAGGTGCTACCAAGCATACTAGTAGCAATACAGCAACGGTTTTTACCTTGGCAATCAAGAACAATTTAATGTGTTAACTAAAACCACCCAACATCTCATGACGAAAGTCGGCTCGGTTGGAATGACGCTTGAAGTTGAAGGCAGTTTTGGTCGGATCGAGTGGTGGCTCATTCGCCATGGGCCCAACCAGAAAAAAGATTGTAATTGTAGGTTCCCAGTTTTTGAAAAACAATATAATATTCGTCACCAACTGAGCAAGGTCCACCGGTAAACCAAAGGTGTAAAAAGAATAAAAAGATATGAACAATTCCAGTGATTTAAAAAAATCGTTCATGTTCTATTTCTCTAACCTTTGAAAGTTAAACATTTCTAGTAAGGGAAGAAATCAAAATAGGTAGTTCTTACAAAAG